TATATGTACATGGATTTATGTACTCATATATCCATGGCTGTTACATGGATATATGTGTTCATATATCCATGTAACAGCGCTGCATATCACTTGTATTTCATAAATGAAACGGAGTGAGCACAGCGTCGATGGACTGTCGGCCATTTATGGGCGAGCGGTTGCCGTAAGGTTTGGATGGGCATACTGCACCTTAGTTAGGCGTTATACCGATGCCCTTGATTGAGAAAGGCGCCGCGCAGCACTTTCCGATAGGTAAAATATTCTTTCTCCCAAGGAAGTATCGAACCTGTGTGTCTTGTAGGGCCACTTGCCGGCCGAAACCGACAGAAATTAGGATGCATTTGTTCCTCGCGGCAGCGTCCACCAGCGACCAATAGCGTCCACCAGCGTTCCGAGCGTCGGCAGCGTCAGCGACTAGGAAAGTATAGATATCGATCTAGCGTCTGCCAGCGTGCACCAGCGTCTACCAGCGTCCGGGAGAGGAGAGCATGGCGCGATAGGAGAGTAGCAGACAACTGGTGTTCTCCTATCGCGCCATACTCCCTATCAGCTGTCTGCTACCCGCCATATTCTCCTCTCAGACGCTGGTAGACGCTGATAGATGCTAGATCGATACCTAAACTTCCTAGCCCTCAAGACGCTGCTGGACGCTGGTAGACAATGGCGAAGGGTGAAGGACGCTGGATTGACATCCGTACGTTACTGGTCGGTGGGCTGCCGAACGCTCGAAACGCTTGCGCACGATATTGATGTATGTATGTAAAGTATGAACGCAGCTTTATGCGGATTAAAGGCAGTTGGCACGATGGTTTCCTACTTAGCCTAAAATGCTAGTAGGGCGCTGTATAGTGGGAAATGGCGAAAGAACGGAGTGAAACGGTCAAAATCCTGCGAAGAAAAAGCCTTCCGTTCTCAGACTTGAAAATCGATTTCGGACGAGTTTTCCGTAGGCATCTTGCAAGAGGAGAGCACGGCGCGATAGGAGAGTAGCAGACAACTGGTGTTCTCCTATCGATGACCACCGCTACCGAAGATACGGCTGCATATGTGTACCCATGTATGCATGCAGCATCACGGCCGCTTCATACCAATCCCTTCGCTTCATAATTTGCTTAGCAAATGAATGAATACGAGCGTCAGGAACGGTCGTCCATTTGTGGGCGGGCGGGCGTGGCGGGCGTTTGGGACGTAAAGTTGTGGCTTGATAGGGCCCTTATAAGGGCACCTTCTTCGGTAAGAGTATTGATCCTAGTCGTCTTGTGGGATTTATCGCGCCAACTGCCTTTAAGCAAGCGCATTGGCATCGTAGGCGAGTTGTCGTTAGCAAAGCACGAATCGCCATCAAAGTATAGGAGCTCCTGAATACTTCAGTTGTAATGCTCCCATCTTTGATGGTTCCGTTGTTTGATGGAGACGGGAGGCATCTTTCCGTCGAGTTAATTCAAACTTGCACAGCGAGAACGGAGTGCATAAACAACCACCGTGTTGGAAGATTCAAGAGCCGCGTTGTTGTACGCCCAAAACGCTAAATCGACTCTGTGCCTTCCTAGTTGCTGAAAACGCAGGCTTACGCTCGAAGCCGCCGGATCTATGCCTGTACTCTCCTAGTCGCTCATAATGCTGCCGTACGCTCAAAACGTTGATGCAAAGCATGAACGCACCCTAACCGGTCCGGTATCTGTTATGATACAATAATAAGGCGTCTTGAGACGTCACTAGCAATGATACAGTGCAAGTTTCTTCCTCATTAGGTGCAGTATGACCCCAACAACACCTTGTCACCTAGCACGTCGTCTTTCAACACGACTAGCTACGGTGTATTTGCGGGGTGGCGCTTAGGCGCGTTCAGACTTCGCGATGACGCACTTTAATGCGCTGTAAGGCGCATCGACGCGCTACCATTGCAACAGTGCTCCAAGGCGCAGACGGAAACCCAGTAATAGACGGATATCAATCGGCGCCGGCTGCTACTGCTTTGAGAGAGCATGGGAGTACAAAAGGGTACGCGTTGTCTATCGCACAGTCCGATACCCTCCTCTTTCTCGTTACTCCATCGTACCGCGCATTGCAGTGCATCGTCGCAAAGTCCGGACGCTGAAACGCAAACAGTGCGTTGTCTTCAACCGTTCGACCGTCCCTGCCATGTGTGAAACGAATGGGTCCGGAGCCATTTTCTGAGCGGCAACTGTGCTGGTGGGTAGTGGAAGCGATCAGCCGTTCTGGACTTCACCTGCCGTCAGACTAACGCACTGCACGGCGCAGGCGTTTAGGTAATTATAGTCAAGCGTGCTACTTGTCTGCACCCTCTTGCGCTTGGTTCTTCTCCACATTTGGCAGCGATAGGAGTGCTGCCATTTACGTTGCCCGCTGTCGGATTTCGGAATGCATGATGGCGCATATTTTAGCAGCGGATAGAATCCTAAACGCACTACCCTCCAACCTGTTCCCAGGCGCTTCTCACCGGGAAAAGTGGCGCGCTTTTCAGCTGAGACCAATTCATCCCACTAACGGCAAGGACAAGGATCCACGGGGTGAGCGTACAGTCTGCCTTTGACCAGACGAGTGCGTCGTTCGTGGACCTTTCCAGCATCCCTTTCTGGATCATTTCAATGTATTGCTTATTGGAGAAAGGTTCCTTCTTGATGAATAGTTTACAGAGAACTCAAACATCACATGCAGAGCTCGTGAGAAGGCCATTGGAAACAGATGCTTCATAATCGGTGGTAACGGACGGTACAACGAATATGATACTCAGTGTGGCTATGCTTTTGTTCAACCTCACGTTATACAGAATGAATTCGAGAGAGAATGGATCACTGGTAAGAGTGGATCACTGTTTGTGTTTTATCTTGAATGGTCCGTTATGGGCTTTACGCTCTGCGTCAGGCAGGGCTCGGAGGGAACATCATAAGTGGCGCACGAGTTGCGGCATCGCGCACAGACTAGCAGATTATCACTTGGCCGCTTGGCTTGACGCAACGCAGCTAGCCGCATCTCGTCGATTGTGAACGACCCCGCTTCTAGCGTCTCCCTTTATCGAGAATAACGATAAAGAATAATTCAAGTCCTGGGTCGGAGAGCGATGTAACGCAACTTCTGCATCTCAAACTGCATCGTAACACAGCAGGTGTACTGATGTACCGATACCTGTTTTTATCGTACTAGCAGTGAATTGTGGTCCTACGCAAACGGCCACTCCCCTTCGTTCGCCCGGCGGTGATATAACGCTTTCTTTGGACACGAAAATTGCGCGCGGTGCCACTTGCGACGCCGCCAGCTGCAGCAAGTCCTTGTAGTGCGGTACCTGGACAGCCATCACACCGTGAACTTGTTCCTCAGTTCATTTTTCGTGGAAAGTCGATGGATTTTGGCATTCCCTTGTGACCGTGCTCTGATAAGGGGAGTAGATACAGTTTATATCCGGCCTGTCGGGTCGCAATCAGCGGTTCCCACCTGCGGCCTTCCCACCAGTGGCTGATTCCTTCCTACATCGATCATTGCTCGATCACCATTGGTAGAGCAAGGCAGCCGGACGCGAGCTCGTGCCGCGCTGCGCTCGCCGCCCCCGACAAATTGCAGTGTTACAAACTATAGAAGGTAGAACCGAGCAAGGGGTAGTATACCTTACCTTTGCGCAGAGAGAGCATCTCTCCCCGCGGGAAAATGTTGTACATTGGTGGTACGTCACTCTGTTTCTCCATAATATGACATGCTTTTCAAGAGTACCTTTGCGACCCGAACAGAGAGTAGTGTGGCTACGTACTAGGTGTTCAGTTGAGAAAAAAAAGCCGATATGCATAAAAGCACTGGGCCAGGGACGCCATCTGCAATCAAGTGTATGGCGGATATTCCTTAGACGACACCCTACACGCTTAGCTGCGCGCTTGGTGTTCTCCATGAGTGAGAACGTGCACTAGCGTCTAGCCGTAGAGAGTAATGACACTTTAGTCAAACTACTTCGCTCATTGGAAGGAGTTCGAGCTCGGGGTGCAGTGGTCCTTTGATTAGCCAGTTAAAACGATGTTCACCCTTCAGGACCGTTCTCATCTCTCTGCCTCAGCGTTGAATGTATCAGACTTGATATTGGGCACCATGGCCTAAATAAACGCAACGAGCCTAATAGCCAATCTCTTCTGCCCCATCGGAACCATTTTTAGTTGAGGTTCATTCAATGAGCAGAAGCACCGCACGATAGTTGCTGATTAATAATAAGTACACTTTAAGTTCTCGTGAAAAGCAAAAGAGCTGAAGTTTGGACAAAAGTTTCTGATGAGTACTTGGAAACAAATCGTCCTGTTCCACAGCAAATAAGGAAGAAAAGATGTTAGTAATGAAAATTTTGAGATTTAGTGAGATTCAGCTTATCTTTATACCATCTCGCGCTATTATTGTCCTGAGTATCCAGGCTGGTTTTGTTTGTTGATCGAAGCGAAGCGTCTAACGGAGACATGGCCTGGAGCGCTGCCAGATCAGGATTCCCACCAATTGTTGCGGGCTCAGGACAGCATCATTGATGGAGGGGGGGGGGGGGGGGGGCTGGTCGCACTCCAATACGCGCGCGTCACACACCCTATTGTTTGCAGGGATCGTGGCAATACATTTCGCGATTCCAGGTCGTATGTAATGAAGTTCAAAACTACCTCGGGGTTCCACCACTAGGATGATCATTGTTTCCGATCTTATCGGGGTTAATCGCAAGCGTTAGTTAGCAATGCGACATAACCCTCTCTACTCTGGGAAATGCAGGCTTGGGCCCAAGTCATCGTCCTGCAGCGCACTTGTGGCGCACTCTTGCAGTTCGAAAAGAGCGAAAATTCTGCGCTCAAAGAAGTGGTCACCTCGCTCGCAGTTCACTACTGGAACTTGGCTAAGCGCAAAGTTTGCCCATCAGTAAGTGAGCTTAATGCCGTGCAGATGCCAAAAAACCTCTGTGGCAGGTGCCACCTACTCGCTTCATTTTATTTCTTTCAGCAGTCAATAATATCGCAAAAAGAGAGGTTATGGATGAGAAAAAAATGATAATTCGTATGAAAGGAGGCCGTGACATCCTAGAAGGAACGCTTATCCTCCGCGATTCTGAAGAGAAACATCCTTTTCTGTGTTCAAGGATACCAAAGCCAGATGATGAAGATAAAATACCCGAAAAACTAAACAAAAACAATTCGTTTTTAAACGTCGAGTTCCCTTCAACGACAACTGAGCAACCAGATGAGCTCATAACTCGTCAGGCAGAAGGAAGAACAGGCACCTTCCCTGGGGAGGAAACAGAAGATGGCCACACACATAAAGCCCTTACACATCCGGAGGAAGGAAGTGACCAAACAACACATAAATCGGTTATATCCCCGGAAGAAGGAACAGGAAGCGGGGTTTATAGCGGCGGCACAACACATAAAGCGACTCAGTTCCCGAAAGAAGGAACAGGAGACGGAATCCATGGTGACCAAACAACACATAAAGCAGTCGTATTCCCGGAAGAAGGAACAGGAAGCGGGGTTTATAGCGGCGGCACGACACATAAAGCGGTTATATCCCCGGAAGAGGGAACAGGAGGCGGAATGCATGGTGGCGGCACAACACATAAAGCGACTCAGTTCCCGAAAGAAGGAACAGGAGACGGAATCCATGGTGGCAGCACGACACCCGAGGCGGTTACATTCCCGGAAGAAGGAACAGAAGGCAGTATCCATGGTGTGACCGAAATAGGAGAAGGAGCTACGTCTCCGGTGGAGATGACTGGACCGACTCGGAAAACAACGAGTTCACACATTGTGAGCTGAGCTTTTCCAGTTTTTGTTTTTGATTTGTTTTTAATTGCTCCGAAAATTATTGCATTGGTGAAGGAGACTATTATCCAAAGGACTAGCTCCTAAGTTTTGACAGATCTGTGGGTTTGTCAGAGCGTCCGCAGAAGGCTCCTTCAATCAGTGTATGTAACAGGGAGCACTGTTAGCGAAATTTGCATGAAACAGCACACGACCTTCACACGGTGTACTTGCAGATGATGATAGGTGATCAAAAGAACTGCTAAAAATGCAGTCAGAGAAGTTTGACTTTTTAGGGCTTGCCGAGTGCCGATTTTGGAAAGCAGTCAGTCGTCTTCATAGTTGACGCTTCATCGCCAGCTGCAAAAAATGGATGGAAAAATGTACGTTGTTCTAGATGATTATTCTCAAATTACTCGACGATCTGAGCAATGAAATGTAAAACAGATCCAGAAGACTTTACAGGGGATCGCCCTGCTTAGCTCAGCGTCTACTTGACGAGTCTTCTTTGATTGAGGCACTTTGTATACTGTCGGAGCTGCTCGGCCACCAATCTCTTTTGCAGCGTACTCATTCCAGAAAGAGATTGATCCTTACCGAAAGCTTCGCCTGTTGCAATGCCTGTTGACCCTTGCTTCGGACACCAGCAAGCTCGCAGTTCGTCCCTTATTGAGCCAGAATACTACGGCAGATTTTCCTCGCTCGACGGATACGAAGTGGTGCTTGGATAACTTAAAGACTTCAGAACTGCAGGAAAATGAGGCTATTCATGTTATGGATGTGATTCATGTGATTTTGAAGCATGATTTGGACATCGTTTTTCGATTGACCGTGGACCATTTTCGAGTCGCCTTTAAATTCAAGGCAGCGTGAGGACAACTTACGACACCCGCATAACGGCACCTATATAAGGGGGGGGGGCAAAAAAAGTCACTTTTCTTCCTTGACTTTCGAGGCGCTATAAGTTACACTTTATCAAATTCTGATCGGACATTTCTACCACCATATTAAAGAGCATATTAAATACTATCACGATACTCCGCCACAGCCTTCTGGAGGAGCGCCATCGAGAGATTCTGCCACGCGACCGTGAATGGGTACCTGAGTTCAGCGATACCAGCCGGCGCGCTTTTTTCTGAGATACAGCACGGCTTCGCCGACGGGCGCGGCTCCACCGCGCTTATCTTTTTCCACACATTTCAATACCCGCCTAGTATTCGGCTTTTCTTTCATCTGAACGGATGATCAACATTATTATTACGGTGCATGAAATGGTGGAAAGGAGCGTTGATCAAGTGAACAGATGAGAGGAAAGCCGGGTATTCGTCCAGCATTTGACCTACGAATGCAGTAGGCGCGACGGAGCCACGCCCCGCAAGGCCGGACAGTATAAGGAGGTCTGGACTGCCTGGAGTGCTCTGACACCGCTTGAGAAACACTGGCCCCACTCTCCTCAATGCACGCTCCGCCCACAACGTATCCGGAGTGCTGTGGAAGCGTTTTGCGAATTTTTCAAAATTGGCTCCACCCCCTCGGGGCACGCTCCGCCCACAACGTATGCCTCGCGCTTCTCAACTAATAACCCCTCGCTGATCTTAAACTACTTTTTCCCGGTGTCTGGAGTGCTCTGGAACCGTTTTGCGAATTTTTTAAATTTGGCTCCACCCACCTCGGGCACGCCCCGCCCACAACGGTGCCTCGCACATCCTTACATTTGATCACTTGGGGACCATAATCCACATTTTGGCACCTTCTGCAGTGCTTTAGGACCAAACTACGACTTTTTATACTGTTCCTCGTGCAAATGCACGCCCCGCCCACTGTAGGCGGGCCTCAGCACGCCGTAAACATGGTGGACTCTTGCCAGACGTTAATCTTCGTCATGGACTTTTCTGCGATCCCTAAACATTTTCGGGGACCGAGTTACCGACCTTTGTGGGAAGCGCCGCCCATCTCAAGTACGCCCCGCCCATTTCGGGTGTCTCCTCCTCCATTTGGCGTGCCAACCCAGTGCTAACCTAATTCCACTTTTTCCAGTCTCCGAACTGCTTTGTAGCCAAGTTATGGGGATTTTTCAGTGACACGGGAAGCGCCGCCCATCTCAAGTACGCCCCGCCCATTTCGAAGTGTATCTCCTCTGTTTGGTCGGTCAGGCCTTTGTTAACTTTACTGCACTGTTTCCTCATCTCGGGACTGCTCTGGAACCGAGTTATGACTTTTTTCAGTGACATCGCTAACTTTGGACGCACGCCCCGCCCACTGTGGGCGGGGCTTACCATGGGTCATGGGTGCTATTTAGGTTTTGTCCCATGCTCTATCCATCCCCACCCTGACCCGACCCCGCCAAGCTCTTCTTCAGGTGCTATGAATTTCGTGACAGAGACAGACAGACAGACACACACACACACACACACGGACATAGCCGATTATATTAGTAGGATAGTTGATTTCTCCGCCACCCTGTTGAGCTCCGCCCGAACCGGGTAATTGAGGGGTTTAGGTCAGGTGACCTACTTAGATATTCCATCTTCTTCAGGTACTCAACGTCCTTCCATTCCAAGTGGGCGAGAGTTTTTCCAACGCCCTTCGAATCCACGTGGTGTCGCCCAATCCTGTAGCAGTACAAAGTTTCCAAGAAGGTACGGGCGACGACATGTGGGAGGATATTCTTCTCGAGTTGCTCGATGTAGCCAGCTCACCTTCAGTCCGGGGTCCACGAAGAAAATATCGGTCTTTCCATTCCAGGTACTCAGGTCCATACCATCAACCCGCGCCTTGGCGACTGCGGTGAAGATGATGTCCTAGACCGTGGCGACGTTGTCGGAGCTGCTCGATGTTGGAGGTCTTCCAGATCGAGAGTACTGGTCTCCAGGTAGCTATCCATGGGTGACTCCATACTAGAAGTTTCGCAGCTGTTTGGAGGTGACATGAATTCCAAAGGTCTTCTCCAGTCAGGCTGCGACTGGAGATGACTTCATATTTTGGTGTACATGAAGGTGATGGGCGCCAGCTTCTTCGACCGGAAAAGTGTGCTTCATTTTCGCTGCGCGCTTCCAGGAAAGGTAAAAAACGAGTGAAAAGAAATCTTGGAATCTGCTTCGTTCTGGGCCTCTATGCGGCGTAGGTCACTTGCAACTTTGACCAGTTGCTTAGTGGGGTCCTTATCCTTACATTCTATAAACCACTAACTTTGTGTGTCGGTTTGTATGTATGTATGTATGTATGTCTGTCCGTCCGCAAAATGCTTCACGGGTTCGAGTTCGCTGGAGGAGAAAACGACCGCTAGGCAAACCGGAAATCGGTGC